TTGGATGTAAATTAGTATTTAATATTGAAAACTATTCACCACAGTCATTCAGATATTATCACTAAAGGATAAAGTTATTACGGGCAATAATTCATGTTTTATTTTTCGAATTACATTCAGTGAACGTTCAAAAGAAATCCATGACAGCCCAGCTTAATAAAACTTTGTAAAAATTAATGTAATTTTATGATATTCAATGCAAAAAACCTATAATTCTCAAGAAAGTGAATTTTTGATATAAAGAAATAAAATAAATGGCAATATTATACAGCTTAAGGAAAACAATATTGCCATATCTGCATTTTTTAAAGATGAATCAATAATGATGAAGACTTAAGAAACTTTCTGGCCCATTATAAAAGTACACAAATTATTTAGTATCTACGAATTTATTTATAGTTTGATTGTGTAGGAAGCTATAAGAAGCTTACAGACACACTCTCAATCTGTTCCTGGAACCAACCAGTACTAACGCAATGACTTATTGCCTCTGACAGGGTTTGAACCTATATAGCCAACAATCCTAAGATTACTAGTCTGACACCTTAATCACTCGGCCATGCCGCCACCACTATCAAATTATCAATACACTCAATTTGTAAAAAGTTCAATCAAAAAAGAAAAGTACTTAAAACTTAGCTAAAACATTTTGGTTTCAAATAAAAATTCTTTATTTTGGATTAATTCATTTTAAGCGATTGATACCAAGAATCGTAAAATCTTCCATGCATCAAGAAACCCAAGTACATATTTTGTATACCCCACCCTAAAAATTATTAAGTTATTTCAATCATTAAAGTTGTTTTGTGATAATTTATTATCTTTCCGTACTTCTGTTTTTATTTCTGAATTGCAGCGTATCTATTCTTACTCCTTTTTACAGGACTGATTTATCGACCACGTTTTTATTCTTGCATTGTTACACAATTACCATTAGGAATACAATCACTGCTGTAACTCTTCTCTCCCCTTGATTATCATGATATTTGATAGTTATAGACAATAAAAACTGCCAACTTCTGCAAATAAATCTTGTAATATCTTCATTTATTATTACATATCTTTGGGTTTTCCCCCCTTTTAACTTTGAAAGCTTACCACGATAATGACAGGCCATTATGCACCAGACTATAGCATACACATGCATGCGATCTGACATAATAAAAATTCCTTTTCGCAATAATAGCCACTTGTTCTATAAAATATAAGCAATGAAAAATTAATCTTTTGTTATCAGATTTTGTGTTTCTGGTTGATAAATATCATTTCTTTCACTTTTGACATAGAAATCAAACTTTAATTATAAAAGCCAGAAAAGAAAATACTATATTTTCAAACTTTTTTTCCGGCATTTCACAGCAATGTTTAAAATTTTTCTAAAGTGGAAAGAAGTATAGGGCTTTATCAAACTTTATAGAAAAAATATTTTGTAACTAATCTGTAATTATTAAACATTATGCCTCTTATAATGGCAACTGTTTTCTCCATTTGTTGTACCACGTCCTTTTCCGTTGCCTTTCTCAGACTTCTGAGAATTACAATCTGGGTCCAGTCATCATGGGGCACAATATTGGTTTATAATAAAGTTATTAGTTATACATGAACAGTTTGTGAGACAATAATGTCCGCATGAGTCTAAGATTGTACGCGCGCCCTGCCAGTGGCATCGTTTCAGATTTCCTTTCATATTGATTCCGTAAAAGGAATTAATGAAAAAGCTTCAGTAAAGTTATCTTTGACTAAATAGATCTCAGCGTAACATAGAAATCACATTCGCCAGTTACAAAATGGAGTACGATACAGAAAAAAACAACCCTCTTTGATAACAAGCACTGAAATTAGGACATAAAAGCATTCTGGGAGAAAAGGAAATGGTAAAAGAGTTCTATGCCCATTAATGACTAAATTCATGAGAAAAATCTGGCTCACACATTGACAGCCCTTGCCCTTATTTTATCATGATTATTCCACCATCCGTACTAAATCGAAATAAGTCAGAATAGTTGACTTAATAGTATATAAATGGGAAATTTCGTCACTTTAGTGTAAGAATATTTTAGCGACATATGAATAAAGGATTTGATATGACAGTTTCGCACTGTTTGGCAATGAGGCACGGAGGTTATTATACATTGCCGGTCATTTACAATAATTACCACGATGTTATCTAAAAGGATCGTGTACGTAATTATGATTCATCACTGATACACTGAAAGTTAATCATAACTTTTATGAAACAGTAATTTAATAGTCAAGTTATAATGAAGTAATTATCACATTTAATTGTGAATTTTTTGTGTGTAAAAATGAAGAAAAAAATTAAGTGTGAAGAAGTCATTTTATTATATTGCCAAAAACATTGATGTAGAGAAAAATAACTTATGTTTACATCCTGAACGAGTACATTCAATGGAAATGGTATTTTATTTAAGTAAACTATGGCGGAAGCAAAACTGAGTGCAAATTTTACAGAAAACATGAAATTAGCAATACTAAAGTATACCACCACACCAAATTCATGCTATGTTTATTAGAATTCTAAATACAGTGAAACCTGTGTTAAAGATCACCTCTGAATAAAGATTATCATATAAAGGCCGCTCTTCGACAATTCTTCACTGATTAAAAAAAGAACAAAATAACCTCCAAATACAGGCCACTTGTCTATAAAGACCATATTTGGTCTCTCCCTTGGATGGTGTTCTCAAGTTGGCTTAGAAGAGCCGGGATAACACCCCAGAGTTCTCTTTTGACTGTAGTACCCGTGAGATTATAAGGCACCTTTTACACTTTTATTACATGACTGATTTTTCTATTTTTGCTATAACAGTCACAAGTGATATTGACCATTTTGACCTGGAAATAGGTGTGGCTCCGCTTTTTCTTTGAAAATTAGAGGGAAAAAAATACTGTCATAGATACAAATAAAAATGAACCAAAACTTAGCTTTGACAGACAAGTCCATTTAAGATCTTTACCATGATTATGGAAGGAAGCTAACTAAACTTTTGTTAAAAAAAGGTTTAAAAAATTGCAAAAGATGCAAACATGACAAAGTCATAGTCAAAAGAAAAGTTTGTCATAAATAACATAGTCTAATTGAATCATGAAATTTTAAGTGACAGCCAAACAAAGCCATCATGTCACTAAAATTAATTTATGAATAATTTAACAAAATATTATTCCAAGATATGCTAATGTATGAATATTTCCTTTCATTCTATTCATTTTTTTTGTTTTGTAATCTTTCATCAAATCAAGATAACCTGTAGAATTTTCAATACCAAATCAAAATTCAACGTATAATCTTACATCTTATAGAGTTTTGCAATCAACAAAGAAAAGAACATCAAAGATTTACTCCTGAAACTTCCGTTTTTTTTAAATATTAAATATAAATCATATCTGATTTATTTATACTGATTTAAGGCACAATTCTGATAGCAGTCTTCATTTATATTTATGCACTGGAAAATATTTAAAATTTGAGAGTGAACTTAGTTTACGCAGTTTATTTTAGTTTGATTATGTCTAAGCTATAATAGTGAACTAAATATATCCAGAGTTTATTTTAGTTAGATTGTGTCTAAGCTTAGAGTGAACTAAGTTTATCCAGAGTTCATATTAGTTAGATTGTGTCTAAGCTAAGAGTGAACTAAGTTTATCCAGAGTTCATATTAGTTAGATTGTGTCTAAGCTAAGAGTGAACTAAGTTTATCCAGAGTTCATATTAGTTAGATTGTGTCAAAGCTAAGAGTGAACTAAGTTTATCCAGAGTTCATATTAGTTTGATTGTGTCTAAGCTAAGAGTGAACTAAGTTTATCCAGAGTTTATTTTAGTTTGATTGTGTCTAAGCTAAGAGTGAACTTAGTTTATCCAGAGTGTGTCTTAGTTTGATTGTGTCTAAGCTAAGTGTGAACTTAGTTTATGCAGAGTGTGTCTTAGTTTGATTGTGTCTAAGCTAAGTGTGAACTTAGTTTATCCAGAGTGTCTTAGTTTGATTGTGTCTAAGCTAAGTGTGAACTTAGTTTATACAGTTGTTTTTTTTAGTTTGATTGTGTCTAAGCTAAGAGTGAACTAAGTTTTTCCAGAGTTTATTTTAGTTTGATTGTGTCTAAGCTTATAGAAATTATTCCTGGAATAAACCAGAACTAAGCAATCAGTGTGTAGAGATTCTTTCTTAAGTGAACAATGGTTGGCTCCTGACGGGGTTTGAACCCAAGCAGCCAGCAACATCTTGATTACTAGTCGAACATATAAAAACTCTGCCATTCCATCACTTGATAATGAACTTACAAGATGTAAATCTATTTTCTTTCAGAATAAACTTCCCACAAATTGCAATCACTACAAAGTTTACTTCACATTATTGAGTAACATAATTTGCTTATCTGATTACCTCAAACTTTAGGATACCTTGGTATTTACAATTACAAAACTTATTTTCAATTGATCAGTGAAAGTTTCAAGAAAATTAAGAAATATTACACGCACAGACACCTTAATTATTATGTAATCTTCAATGCGATACTTTTAGTTTTCTGCTAGTGTATTTTATAGAGTTGTAAAATTATAGCGAAATGGTAGCCTTGTAGTTTGGTTTGTGCTTCTTACTAGAGATTTTGCCAATTAAAGCCCAATTAGGAGACAATCATTCAGCTAAATGTTTCCCCATATGAATTTAGCTAGTACTAAGGTTCAAATCCCATTATTTACTTTGGTTGCATACATGTAAGAAAACTATCTGTCTAGCTAATGGCAGATTGGTGGTTCTCCTCAGGTGATTGACTGCCCCTTCAATAATGCACAAAAAGTCTTCCTCAAACACATAATCAGGAAATTCAACAAAATAAGCTTTGCAGCTTCTGTGCGACTTTAAACCCAAAATATCAATTAATTGGTCAAGGAAGTTTACTTAATAGAGATGTTTCAATTATCTAGACAATAAAGTAGACTCAAAAGAATTTTTTTAATTGACCTTTGATAACTTAATACTTACATAAGACACTGAGAATCACAGTAACTCTGTAAGGACCGTTGATCAGTGCATTATTATGAGCCTGGCACGTGTACTGCACATTATTATCATCTGGGTACGTCGGGTTCAACGTCAGAATACTTCTCGCATCTTCTCGTTTATCGTTGGCTATTTTCGTTGTCACATATTCCACGTTTTCTGTGACTTCCTGACTATTTCTAAACCACTTGATGGTCGCCGCTGGTCGGCCTGCCGTCGAGATACACACCAACTTTTTCACAGGTTCTGTGTATGCCACTTCAACCACTGACCCGTTAGAATAATCAACAATGTCTGGAAAATTTGGCGGAACTGGAAAAGAAAAATAATTGTGATTAAATTTAAACAAAAAGATCATTTTAATCTAGAAATTATTCAAAACCATGATGAACAAGAGCACCGCTAGGCGGAGCATTATATGCCCGAAAGTATTTTTTTTTTTTAGTAAGGATGACCTTAACTGTTGACTTTTTGACCCCAAAATCAATAGGGGTCTTCTACCCAATATGGACAATCATCCTATGAAGTTTGAACATTGTGGGCCAAATGGAACTTAACATATGCTCCGGCAACTGTTTTCAGTATCAAGGTAATAGTGACCTTCACCTTTGACCTTTTGACCCCAAAATCAACAGGGGTCTTCTACCCAATATGGACAATCATCCTATGAAGTTTAAACATTGTGGGTCAAATGGAACTTAAGTTATGCGTGGAAACATATTTTTCAGTATCAATGTAATAGTGACCTTCACCTTTGACCTTGTGACCCCAAAATCAATAGGGGTCTTCTACCCAATATGGACAATCATCCTATGAAGTTTGAACATTGTGGGTCGAATGGAACTTAAGTTATGCTCTGGAAACTGTTTTCAGTTATAAGGTAATAGTGACCTTGACCTTTGACCTTTTGACCCCAAAATCAATAGGGGTCTTCTACCCAATATGGACAATCATCCTATGTAGTTTGAACATTGTGGGCCAATTGGAACTTAAGTTATGCTCCGGCAACTGTTTTCAGTATCAAGGTCATAGTGACCTTGACCTTTGACCTTGTGACCCCAAAATCAATAGGGGTCTTCTTCCCAATATGGACAATCATCCTATGAAGTTTGAACATTGTGGGTCGAATGGAACTTAAGTTATGCTCTGGAAACTGTTTTCAGTTATAAGGTAATAGTGACCTTGACCTTTGACCTTTTGACCCCAAAATCAATAGGGGTCTTCTACCCAATATGGACAATCATCCTATGAAGTTTGAACATTGTGGGCCAATTGGAACTTAAGTTATGCCTCCGGAAACTGTTTTCAGTATCAAGGTCATAGTGACCTTGACCTTTGACCTTGTGACCCCAAAATCAATAGGGGTCTTCTTCCCAATATGGACAATCATCCTATGAAGTTTGAACATTGTGGGTCGAATGGAACTTAAGTTATGCTCCGGAAACCGTTTTCAGTTTTAAGGTAATAGTGACCTTGACCTTTGACCTTTTGACCCCAAAATCAATAGGGGTCTTCTACCCAATATGGACAATCATCCTATGAAGTTTTAACATTGTGGGCCAAATGGAACTTAAGTTATGCTCCGGAAACCAAATTGCTAACGGACGGACGGACGGACGGACGGACGGACGGACAGACAGACGGACGCCAGGGGGTATAACATAATATGCCCTTTCGGGCATATAATAAAAGATGATCATTTATCAAAACATGTAAAAATCTATTACAGAATATGAATGTGTAAATCAATCAAAGAACATTGAATTCTTTGATCAAAAAAGATATTTGCTTCAGTTATACATTTAAGTAGAATTTTGCACTTTCATCAGCAACATTTTATTAATTTTTCTGTTGGGTTTTCAGTTCCACCAATACTGTAAACGTCATATGGAGACTTTCCATCTTTACTGGTGGAGGAAGACCTCAGGTGCTCCTCTGTGCATTATTTCTGGAGGGAGCAGCAACTGAGTAAAACCATCGATATTCTATAAAAATTAGTTGAATAGCTTCCTCACATGAAAGAATGCAAAGTCCCTGGCCACATGACCAATTTCATTATACAAATATTACATGTATAACAGATAAACAGAAAATACAAATATACATGTTTGTATGACATACAAAGATTGTTTTTATTTCCGTCTTAGTTTTATTACATTATACATGAACTCTTAAAAATCATTTTCGTCTGGAAATCACCCAATATTGACAGATACGAAGTTAGGACTTCGTTCCAAATTACCAAATTACATAACCTTTATATGTTATTGAGTTAAGCAATTACAATCTTTATATAGATGTAGAATGACATTCAACCTCTGATATAATCCACTTTCCTCGTCTAGTCGACTTTGACGGGCCATATTGGTTCTAGCTGTAAATTATTCAATAAATGGTCCTCCATACCTCGAAAACCTTCATTAATTCTGATAATTTTGTCACCAATCAACAAAAATAATTACTTTATGCTGCCAAAATTATGCCAAAGTTATGATGTTGAGCTCGGCATCAACACCAATAAATTTATTCTTAACCATCTGAATTTGCTTACAGGGTTTTTTTTTACTTTGAATATACCAGACACACCAGACTAAATCATCACTTCCATTTCATAAGTATTTACACACTCTTACAGCATGTACATAAAAATGACCAGAATTCGACAGCTGTCATAAAGTTTAAATGCTTTGATAATAAAATCCACTAATTACACCACCTTGCAATTAAGACCACTTAAGCAGAGGTGTTCATAATGATATTGACTAATAAGACCATCTTGCAATGAAGACCATTTTAGGTGTTGTTAATAATGTCCACAAATAAGACCACCTTGTAATTAAGACCACTTTAGGTGTTGGTAATAATATCCACTCATAAGACCACCTTGCAATTAAGACCACTTTAGGTGTTAATAGTAATATCCACTAATAAGACCACCTTGTAATTAGGACCACTTGGAAAGGAATATTGGTGGTCTTAATATGGAGGTTTTACTGTAGTAAACAGACAAAAGCATGTCTATGCCTAGTGTGACTAGAATATTTTTAATAAAAAAAAATTGAATAGATAAATAGATAAATTAGATAAATACCTAAAACTGTGAGTTTGGCACTTGCTCGCAGTCCTGGGTTGTTGTCAGCAGGGCCTACTTGGCACTGGAAGACATCGTCATCATCTAAGTTTGTATTGAGAATTTGCAGGTTGAACTCTTTTTGATCGTTACCTATAATACTGTATCTTCCATTGTATCCTGGAATCTGCCTGTCAAACCCTGAAAACAGAAGAAGAAAAAAATATCTTTCAAATTTGTTCATATTTATATCAAATGATTTTGCCTGTTTTTAATATATAGTAATTACATTGTAATATTATCTTAACAATACAGTATTTCAATATATTAGTGAACATGTTTAAATAAATTATCAAAACATCAAGGTACTTCACATGATAATATTTGCGATTTTCAATTTCGCACCAATCCAAAAGATGTGTTATGGCAGGAAATATTTTAAGTTCCCGTTGGGATTCCAACCTATTATGCAGCTAGGGGTAATCTCTCGGCCTCAGACGCCCCTCCCATATGACATCAGTACAGGTTCAAGTTCCAGAAAATGGCATTGATATTGTGGTTCATATATTAAGTTACAAGCTTTCTTCACACGACACAATCAAGCTTCAATAAAATATGCTTAAACTATTACTTTATGGCTTAAAATGAGCTTAACTGTGGTCAACAAAATTTGAAAAAGTCATATATACAGACTAATATTAAAAGATAAAGAAATAGACTTATAACTAAATTGAAAATCGCTTTTTAATGCAATAACTAGACAATAAGTTATTTTGCACAATAAATATGAGTCAGTGTTTTAAAACCAATCCGCTTTAACAACCAATTTTTTAAAGAACAGACTTTTCTCATCTTATTTAAATAGTCGTTCTATCTGAAATTGAGACTACCCTGAAATTGAGACCACCCCCCTATCACATAATATGATATTTAAATAATCTTTTTAGAGACTGCCATTAAAAGCTTATCAGAGCAGGCTGAACAAAAGATAACTATACTGTCACTAAAATTAATCCAGCAATATTCAATCAGCATTAAACCTTATTTCTGTCTTAAGTCCTTAAAAAAAAAAAGATGAAATAAAAACAATAAAGAATCAGTGACGCAATGATGTCTTCTTGTCAACCATGAATTACAAGACAAGATTTAAATCATTGTCGCGCAATATTGCACGGAAGGCAATAAAATGTGACATGTGATTAACAATCCATTTCTGTCCTGCGTAATATCAGCGAATAACAACATCGTCTGGAACTTTATAATAATGATAAAAAAAAAATTGAGGAAAATATTAAAAATGTGCGAAACAAGAATGCAGGCATAAATCTCGCAGTTATAAAAGCTAATTAACAGACAGTCTCGTCAAACGAGGGGAGATTCTAAAATTAAACTATCCGAGTGTGACATTTTATACTATCTCTGTCTACTGTCAACGTAGCAGTCTAAACTAATCATCGTCTTTTTTTGCCACCGCAGAAACGCATAAAGATCCATGTGGTGACAGTATCCAAATCCGTCGGGGAATTCTTCAATTACTGTTTTGAAAACCATGAAAATATCCGTCCACAGATCTTCTATTAATGATGCAGGGAAACTATGATAAATCTAGTCATTAAACAAATATTTTTTATACGTTACAAGCAGACCGAGGACAGTTTTGGTGTTTCATGATAAATCATTTTAATCTATAGAATCTTACAACAGTTTATAGCCAATCATTCTCACTGAACACAAGTACAGTAAAACAGAAAGCATGTTCTTGCAAACAAAAAATGTCACTGTCATATCTAAACTCAAGGTCAAGGTCAATATAAATGGCCTTTCATTTGCGATATTGAATAAAAATAATGTAATTTATATTTATTAAGGACAAAATTTAACCTTTTGTAATTGATATATTTATCAAGGACAAATTTAACCTTAATTCTAATCACAATGCTGCAGTCTGTCCCAAAATTTGAACTTTAAAATGTCAAAAGTCAAGATCACAGGTTAGAAAAAAAAGGAATTTATTTTTTAACTGAAAACTATCTAAAAATGCATGCAGTAAGAAAAAATAGTCTGGACTTTAGTACATTTTTCTCAAGTTTGATTTTCTTGAAATATCTTGGCTCATCTGGAGGCATGCAGCTTTTTTGTTTCACTGTTTGTTGCATTAAACAAAGGCAATACATATATTTATGTGTTGGTTTACCTACCCTTTTTTCAAACCTATTGTCAAATATAAAACATAAAAGAAAATTAAAAAAACAAAAAAAAAAAAAAAAATTCAAAAAAAGAAAAATAAAAAAAAAAAAAAATTCAAGAAACGGGGGGGGGGTTGGCCCAAAAAAACCAAAAAAATTCAAAAAAACTTACAAAAAAAAACCCGACCATTATTTTCTTTGGGATTTTAAATTTTATTTTTCAGAAATCTGTTTCTGATTTTTTAAAATTTTTTGTTATCAAAAAAAAGCAGATTCTCCCGGGCAATTTTTTCCAATGCTCTCAGTTTTTAAAAGAAAGAGAAATTTTATCCCTACTAGTTCAATGGGTTTTTTATACCCCCAAACATCATTAAACTTACCTGCCTATCGAACCTCCATCCTGTTAGACACCAACCCAGTCTAACTAAAATCTATCTTACCGGTAATTAAGTTATAAAAATCTTAATTGTTATATTGTTATTATAGACAGGCAGACAAATTTTACATATTCTTTCAAGTGTCCACTTCTTGGAACTTATCGTATGTGTTAATAAAGTGTCCACTACCTGGAACTTATCATATGTGTTAATAAACAAATCAATATTAATTAATAAATCAATCAATATTATATGACCAAAATAAAAAATATCCTTGTTCAAAAGTTGGTATGTCAAGCACACAGCAGATAAAGTTTGTGAACCTGCTTCAGTCATAAGATATATTTACACCAATCTAATTATTTATCACTCTACATACGTAAGTCTTTAACATTTTAACCTATCTAACCCAATGGTTGATTATTTTTCTCACTCACCTGAACACACAAATATCAGAGAATCTACTTGCTACGCCCATTACAACGTACCTAGTTTTGAAAAGGGGGCGGGGCTTAGGCGCCTGACTTTCTATGATTAAAAAGCATTACGCAAAAAATTCTTCTGACCAAGTTTATGTGTGAAAAATTTAATGAAAATAAATTTATATGAGACCCCTCATGAAAAAGCAAGGTTATCATGATGAAACACGTCGATATTAAAAACGGAAAGTGCCATAATATAAGTGTTTATAAGGAATTCAGTCCATAACTTCAATGGTTGACAAAAAAAGCGTTTTAATCGTTTGCAAAGATTTTTCTACTTTTTCGGTTATTTTGGCCGAATATTCAATTAAAATATATACAAATGAGATTCGTCATCAATAAGCATGGTTATCATAACAAAAAACATGAATGTTTTTTTCAGGCAAAGTGTCATAATATCCGATTTTACGAAGAACGTTTCGATATTTTTAAAGTGTGCTATTTTTAGTAACAGATCGTTATTGGAAAGGGCGGATCTAGGTAGAGTTAGGACTCATTGCAGTGTGAAAGTTAATATCAATTCTATTTTGATTCCGTAGACAATTTAATAGATTAGCTTTACAAATTTTTTATACATTTTGACCTTTTGACGTTTAATTTTTGTTAAAATAGGAGTGAATCGCGTATTATTTAGAACTGCTGCACGTTGAGTGTGAGATAAGCCCATGTGAGATAAGATTTTCCAACACCGCTATTTTTAGTAACATTTAAGGATTTTTCTATCTGGTTAGTGAGAAATATTTACACCAATCTAATTATTTATCACTCTACATACGTAAGTCTTTAACATTTTAAAGACCTCTATAGAATTGTAATAGTGTAGCATAAAAACATGTCTTTCCAGATTCATACCTTTATTGTAACAATGCAAATATAACGTATACAGGATGTGACGTCTACAAAGTAACATATGAATAGCAGTAACGTCACCAGCATAAAAGCGCAGACGTACATATCCAACATTGTTTTTTTTTCGCTTTTGATAACTTAGGTACTGTTGCAAAAAAACTTACAAAAAAAGAAAACGATGTTTTATCTTTTAATTCCTTTTTGTAAGTTTACTTCTTCAGAGAGCGACAGTAATAAAATTCATTCCTTCTGAAAATGTTTTGTTCTGCTAATCTTATTATTTTGTTACGATATTCAACAAATTGACATTAAAGGCATACCATGGTCACATTTAAAGAATACAATGCTGGCCGTTTACTTAGACGAGTGACAACATATTATTGTATGTTAACGAGTTTAACCCCCCAATTTTATATGCACAAGGAGTTACGACTGGCACACTAATTCCATTTTATCACCGTTTCCAAATAACCGAAAACATATCTTAGCCCAGATACACTCCTGTAAAATCTCATTACCATATTTGTCCATAGAAGTGAACACAAAACTTGATAGTCGTAATTGTTTAAATAAGAGTGTAACTATACTGAACTAGAACTCATCGAGTCGGATGTGTCGCCTTGTGAACAATATAGTTTAGGAGAAATGGCCAGGACAAGAAAATTAACAAAGGGCAATAACTCAAAGAATAAGAAGTGCAGAGCAGCAGTTTCTTAGCACTGCACTTCTTATCAATAAGATATATCACACTATGAAGTTTCAATTCCATAGCTTTTATAACTAATGAGAAATGGCCTGGACAAAAATAAAGTATGAAAATTAATAAAGGGTAATAACTCAAGAATAAGAAATGCAGAGTACCAGTTCTTGTACACTGCACTTTTTCTTAATGAGATCTATCATCCTATGAAGTTTCAAGTCCATAGCTTTTATACTTTCAGAGAAATGGCCTGGACAAAAATAAAGAATGAAAATAAACAAAGGGCAATAACTCAAAAAATAAGAAATGCAGAGTACCAGTTTTTGTGCACTGCACTTCTTCTTAATGAGATCTATCATCCTATGAAGTTTCAAGTCCATGGCTTTTATACATTAGGAGAAATGGCCTGGACAAAAATAAAGTATGAAAATTAACAAAGGGCAATAATTCAAAAATAAGAAAGTGCAGAGTACCAGTTCTTATGCACTGCACTTCTTCTTAATGAGATCTATCATCCTATGAAGTTTCAAGTCCATAGCTTTTATAGTTGAAAAGAAATGGCCCGGACAAAATTAAAGTATGAAAATTAACAAAGGGCAATAATTCA